GGTCATACAGTTCTCTCAATATTCTTACATTCTTAGAGATCCTTTTTCTCTCTGTGCCTCAGTTTCTTTGTATTCCTCTTCTCTAGTTTCTATTTCATTTATCGTCTCCTCCACTGTATCCAACCTGCTTTTAATACCCTCATCGTGCTCTTCAATGATTGAATCTCTGACCAGAATTCATTCCTGAGTTCTTGAATATCTTTCCGTACCTCCATTCGCATGTTGATGATTTTTATTTTGAACTCTCTTTCAGGAAGAGTTGTAAGGTCCATGTCATTCAAATCTTTCTCTGGAGTTATATTAATTTTACTCTGAACCAGGTTCCTTTGGCGTTTCAATATTTGTATATGGCGCCCTCTAGTGTCCAGAAGCTCAACTCTGGAGCTGCTCAGCTCCTGAAGCAATGTTGGGGGTCCCAGGGAAGCGGTATTGGTGCCTGGGGGGGAGGAAAGAGCTGTTTCCTGCTTCCCAGCTGCTATGCCTGTCTCCACTGCCTGAACCAGTGAGCCCAGCACACAGGTATAAGCTTTTGTCCCAGAGCAGCTGGATATGGATCCCTGCTTTCCACAAGCAGGTGGAATCTCAGTCTCTCCAGGAATTCTGCCTGTATTACCTTTCCAACTCCGTAATCACATGAGTATCATGAAAGCACCATAAAAAGTAGGTTTGTGCTCCCAGAGGAGATCTCTGGAGCTAGGTATTCAGCAGTCCCAGGCCTTCCACTCCCTCCCTGCTCCATTTCCCTTTCTCCCGCCTGTGAGCTGGGGTAGGGGAAAGGCTTGGGTCCTGCCAGGCCACAATTACTTCCTCAAAGACACTTTGTATCTGGTACATTACCCTGTTCTGTGAGGTCTGCTCTTTTCTCCAGGTGTATGCAGTCTGGCACAGTCCTCTTTACTGTTGCTCTCTTAGGATTAGTTGCACCAACTATATTTTCGAATTGTATGCCGTTTTAGGAGGAAGCCTCTGTCTCTCCTCTCACGCCACCATCTTTAATCTCACAGCTTTCCATCTGCATGAAAAGATTTTAAAAGACGAAATGCATAAAATGTTACAGATCACCATTAACAGAAAATTTAAAATTGATTTTGATGGTAGAGAGTACTAACTTTGAACCCTAATTAAGTAAGGTGTTATTATCCCCAAATATAATTCTCATTAGATTTATATTACAAAATATTGTACTCTATTAGTATTATTATATTTTTGTGTGTCCTTTTCCTTATAAGTACATAATACCCTCAATTTTACCTCATGGTTGGAAAATCATTAAAATAATTATCTGGCCCTTTATTGAAAATGTGTATTGTCCTGTGAACTAAAACTTTCAAATATATTCATTGTAGTGTTTAAAATTCCCTGTGTGATAATTCCAAACTCCATGTCATATCTGAATATAGTTCTTTTGGATGGTTTGTCTCTTGACCATGTGTTATTTTTTTGTTTCATTGTGTGTCTCATCAGTTTTGGTTAAAAACTAGTCATCATGTATAGGCGTGTAGAGACTAAGGTAAACACTATTTACACCCAGAAATGGATATGTCTTTTCTTTAGTAGGGACTGTTGAGACAATTATGTCATTTTGTTATTGCTATGATTACCCTCAATGTGCAGCAGGTTTCAAATTCTTCTCATGTTAGTTTTTGCTTAAAGTGGTAGTGGATTTGTTGGAGAGTTTTTCTCAGTGTCTGTTCTACTCTTAGCTATCAGTCTTCTTTTTGTGCCTGTGTCACAGAGTATGATTTTCATGTTTTTACGCTTTCCTCGAGCAGTAGACTGTTGTTACTTGTTCTGGACACTTGCTAGCCCTGTAGTGGAGGGGGAGGTGGCTTTAATTTAAATGGGGGCAGACTGAGATAGATTTAGGACACCCTGAACCCCGACCACATTGACCCTTTTTTGCTAACTCTTTGTTGTTCTGGTTCAGCCTCACTCTTACAGTAGGTGCTATATCCTTGCCTCTCAGAGATGAGGCCTTCTCAGTAACCTTGACCCTTTCCCATCATAGGAGACCTCTCATGGTCTGGTCTAGGACAGTTTCCTGCTCCTCCCTGAAGGGTAGAGGTTCTTTTATGTTCTCTTCCTCCAGCTATATAGGCTTTAACCTGTGCCCTGAAAATGAAACTTTATGCTCTTCCCCCAGTTGCATGAGGCTGTTTATTCTTCCTTTTCCTCCTCTTCTTATTCCTCTTCTTTGAGTTCTTCTTTTTGGTTGTAATGCTAGGGTTTTTGTTCACAGAGTTGAAGAATGAACTTAGCAAACATTCAAAGGTAGGAGAGCCAGGTAGGGAGAGGATTTTATTTAAAGATTAAGTGAGAAGACAGAGCTCCTAGCTCATGCCAGGAGGGGACAAGAGAGCCTGGGGTGGTGTGTTGTCTAGGGGATTTATAGGCAGTTGAGAGACAAAGGCTAGGGATGCAGACCTGCTAAGTTATCCCAAACTGTTTATCTTTGAAGAGATATTAAGTTTCTTATCAGTCCTCTGGGTTATTTACAAGAAATTTACTGCTCTCTGATTCCCTCCCAGGATAGCAGCTTCCTGGTCTGGGCGAGTATCAAACAAGACTGCCTGCCCAGTCCCCAAGGTGGGCTGAGCTACTGTCTGTTTGCTGAAGAGTAAGTTAAGAATTTTACTTCTTAACTTCCTCAGTTTTTAAAATGCAATTTTATCTTTAAGATGGAATCCTTCCTGCCTTTTACTATGTTGTTTATGCCTGGGCTTACTTGCCATTATTAATTGCCCAGGTTGCAAATCACCTGATCAGGTTTGAAGGAGGAAAGACAGCACATAGGCCTGGGCCTTTTAACATGCTGAAGTGAATCTTACACATGATTACAAATGATTAGCATCATAAAAACATGGGCTACTTTCCTTTATCTGGGGGATATTAACTGATCTCACTGAAGAATGACTCTAGAGCTTAATGTTTAAGATGGAGTTTTGGAAGGGGGTTTCCTTGCATGTTGTTACATTGCTCTGACTGTAATTATTTTGCTTTTCTTTTTCCACCCTACTCTGACTACACCCATGGTCCCTGAGGGAAAGGGAAGAAAGTCAAAGGATCCCGGTCAGACTTCCTGCCTTTCCCACAGTGTCCCCTGCATACCTCCCCAATGACTGAACTGTAAACAAGGTTTTCTCTGGTCTCTTGCCATGCCCCTAATCTTTCTCATGAATACCTGATGGACATTTGTGGAGAAGGGCTTATGAGTGGGCACAAATCCACCTTGTATATGTAGCTCCCAGAAATTCTAAAGTCTTACACTAGCCCACACTTTGCTTTTCATAGTTCATTAAAAGATAATACACTGTCATGGTAGATGTTATTGTGGAAACGAAGAATATAGGGACTGAGAAGAGGGCCGGTTATTTCTTTCTGCTCTGATGATTTTGCTGCAACTTGAATTTTAACTTCTTAGATTAAAAGCATCTGTGGTTACCCTAACATAATTTCATATACCTTATAGCTACAGGTTTAATGTCATTGAAAATAAGATGTAGTATCTGATCTTTTGGGTTGCTGAATTTCAACATAAATCAAATTAACAGCTTCATCAGAACGCTTACAGGAGTGTTATGGCATTGACTGGAGAAGAGTAAGACCCTAAAAATTTTCATGGGGGCACACTGAGGTAGATTTAGGACACCCTGATCTCCAACCACACTGACCCTTTTTCACTAACAGAAACAGTTCCTCCTCCCAATTGGTAAGGCTGGTTCGTCTTTACCTTAGAGACACTGTAATGACTTCTTCTGAGGAAATTACATTATAAGAACATTCCTTGCCTCTAGATATAATAACTAGAGTGAGATCCCAGCATGCTCCAGGACAGGTTCAAAGTATAACCCAGGAGGAAAAGGCTTTCTTACAAAAAGAACTGTAAGGTTTTTCTAACCTGCACTGGAATAAAACAGTAGTGTATGTATAGGATTGGCTTCTAAGGACTCTTGATTGGGGAGGCTTGGACCCAAATTTATTAGGAGTATACTTACCAGAAATTCTGAATTCAGTTTGCTGGTTCAGGCAGGTAGGAATTGCTCTATATGTTTATCTGGTTGTTTCAAACCTGAACTAAATGGTGAACCACACTGAAGGACGTTGATGTGCAGAAATTCCTTGGCTTAATGTAGAGAAAGGAATGCAAAGAAAGAGTGGAGAATACTGGAATGGATTCATGATAATAGATCTGCTCCCTTCCTCCGCTGACCTCCAAAAGGGACTAGAGCATAACTCACCAAGCTCCTGAAAAATAAATTGTGAGGGGAGCACTCATATCCTTGAAAAACGCTGTAACTGGTTGTGCTCTTCTGACCAGGGAAAAGTGGTAAGTGCTGCAATTCAAAAGTTGTTATTGTTGTTTTTCCCCTGACATCAAGAGGGATGATGAAGCCCAGAGAGGCAGAGGCCTAGTAGAAACACTTAGGCAACAAAGACAAAAGGCTAAACTAGAGGAATAGACATCAGGGACATAAAACTATTAAAAATGGATTGACTTGCAGATATCTGTGGTAGTGGCTAATTCTTTAAGGAGTCTCTGAGATGGAAATAAAATAGCCGCCTACTCCTTTGCCTAACCTATTTAATCTGTATAGTCTCCCTACCCCAAAAATCTAGGTCTGGTGAATGAAGCCCTAAGGGGAGGAACCACTATGGAGAATTCAGGCTCAATTAATTCCCAGGCTGACTATCCTCATCAGCTCTAGGCCAAGTGCCACACCAAGAAGAGTAGGGGTGTCAGGAAGTGCCCACCCTAAATTGGGAGGTCGCTATCAAGGACAGTTTCCTCAGAATCACCTGAACCCGTCAGTCCCGGCTGGACCCAGTCCGGAATGGGGATCCGAGTCAAGCCAGGAGGACGACATACCCCTCGAAGGCAGGAGGATCCGCCGTTTCCGCTCCTCCGGAGATGCCCAGGCCCGGCCCCGCCCCCACCCCGGTCCCCTGTTTGCCTCCCGGCCGCGAGGGGGCGCTGCAAGGGGCTGTGTAGCCGTCGAGCCATGGCGCCCGCGGGCGTCGCTCTCCGCGGCGGCTCCCTGGGCCTCCTCGTCTGGCTCCTGCTCCTTCAACGCTGCCTCAACGAGGCCCGGGCGGGCAGGATGGCACCATCCTCACCCTCCTGGTACCCTTCGGGGGGCAGCCGCGAGGACCCAGGGGTGAGCCTGTGGGAGTCCTCGCCTCCGGAGGTTCCGGTATCCTCTGGGGCCCCCGGGTCCCCTGTGGCCGCCGTGTCCCCGCCTTTCGTGGCGTTTACCCCCCTGACTTGGATTCCTACCAGGCCCCGGTAGCCCTCCAGACAGCAGCCCCGTTGCAGACCACAAGAGCTACGCTGCTTCCTTCAGGTGATGCTTCTGGGCCCGGCCCGGCCCACAGACGACTTCTAACTAGCCTGGCCTGCGGGGGACGGGACCCTGCCCTGCGGGAGGAGGGCCACAGGGGACGCGATTTTTCCTGGGGAGCGGGGGAGGCCTTGAGTGGACCCAGCCCTGCCCTCGAGATCTGAGACCATACGGCCCTTCTCTGAGGAGTCCTAGGTGGTGCAGACCTGCTCCAGGGGCCTGAGGGGACACGGCCTTCCTCTGGGGGCTATGGACTTCTGAGGATTATCTGGCTCTGGTGTTGGTGCTGTCAGTGGCTTTATTTTCAGTGTCCTGCCTTCACTGACCAGCTCCAGGATGTGGCCACAGGTCTATGAGGATAGTTGGTGGAATGCCAGCCACAGAGAAGAAGTGGCCCTGGCAGGTCAGCCTGCAGATCAATAATCAGCACATATGTGGAGGCTCCCTCATCGCGCGTCAGTGGGTGCTGACCGCCGCCCACTGCATATCTGGGTGAGTCTTTGGGGCTCTCGGTATGGTCTCCTGATCAAGCTGCCAGTCCTGCTCCTCTTCCTGAGCTTACTCCTCCTCGTGAAAAACAGGCCGTAGTCCCTGCTCTTCAGGCGGTAGTCAGAGGTGGGTGATGTTAGGGCCCGTGGTAGCTGGGAAAGTCAAGGCCTCAAATCAGGTTCAGAGCCACTTCTTTTAAGCCTGTGTTGATGAGCCCTCAAGCCAAGTGGCGAGAAATGGAAGAGATGCCAGCTGGGAGATGGAGTGGGTGAAGACTTACAAGGGGGAATATTTAAGGAAGTGCAGCGAAGTAGACCGGTTTGGCTAGGTCAGTGGTCTCATGCTTTAATGAGTGTGGCAACACCTGCAGAGCTTGTTAAAACCCAGACTGCCTGTCCCAAACCCCAGAGTTTCTGATTAGATAAGTCAGGAGTGGGATACATTTCTAACAAGTTTCCAGGTGAGGCTGATGCTCCTCACTGGGGGCCAAACTGAGAACCCCCGGATAGAGTGGCCAGGAGGTCTGGAGAAGGGATGTGATTTGGAGGGAGGCAGGGAGCTGATGACTGGCCTCAGAGATAAAACGAGGCTCGAAAATGTGGAAGGGGAGTGCGGAACCTCCACGCTCTCTCTACAGGGACGTGGAATACACAGTGAAGATGGGAGACACACACGTGAAGCATACCTCCAGAATGGCAATCAAGGTTCCAGTCCGCGACATTGTTGTTCATAAATACTATAATCCCATTGGGTCAATCCAAAATGACATTGCCCTCGCCCTGCTCGACTTCCCTGTGAATTACTCCTCACACATCCAGCCTGTGTGCGTTCCTGAAAAGGCTTTCATGGTGCAAGCTGGTACGAAGTGTTGGGTGACTGGATGGGGAAAACTGGATGAAAAAGGTGAGACTGTGAAGCAAGGCCAGGGGAGAGACGCCTGGTGCCCTGGGGTTGGCCTACCCATTAAAGGGAGAGACAGGGAGGCAATCTTCTAGCAAGTGGGTAAGGAAGGAGGGTGGAGAAGATGGTGCTGGGGAGTAACTTGATGGTGTTATAAATTTCTCTTACTTTGTTACGACCCTGGGTGACAAGCAATGTGGATTCTCTATTTGGTGTATTTAGCTCAACAAGAGTTGATGTGTCTGCTAATGTGAACTGGAAATACTTGTCCTGGTGGAGAGGGATCTTTCAGTGAATGGGAAGAGGCCAGAGAACTCATTTGGTGAAACTGTAGGGCCTCCTCTCTCTGCGTAGAGGCTAGATTTGATACCTTTAGGGCACTTGTCTGAGAGTCTGTGATCCTGCTCTAAAGTAAAGACACTTGACCAATGTACGGGATATCTGACACTATTACTGTTTATATTCAGAGTGACGGACAGCTGGTTTTGATTCCTTAGGGTGGTAAGGCCTGGCCTCTTTCTGTCCTGATCTGTTCTTTCTTTTCCTGTCTTGGTTTTGATTTATACCCCCTCCCATCCCCATGTCAACTTTGGGCCTCATTTTCTCCAGTGTCAGATGGGGACAATATCCACTGCCCTGAGAGGGTGTCTGTATGTGAACACATTATATTGAGACCCAGGGTGAATGCTGGGGTCTCCTCTCCTTCTCATTAAGCAGACCCACCTATTCCTGAATTACCTCCACAGCCTCATCAAAGGAAGCGCCAACAAAGCTTCAGGAGGCTGAGCAAAACATTATTCGCTATGAGGAATGTAATGAGTTGCTCAAGAAAGAGTTGGCAAATGACAATGACATAGTCAGGAAAGGGGTTGTCTGTGGTTACAGCACTCAAGGTAAAGATTCCTGCCAGGTCAGTTGATGGGCTCTTTGACACCACTGCACATGGTTGTCCCCTTAAAGTTTCCTTATCCACAAGCAGTAGGGCTGCATTATATGCCCGCCCCTTCATTCACTCCTCATTTGTGTTAAGGGGATTAAAGGGGACAAGCTGCCAAGGTCTTACCAGGGCGGCCTGACCCAATCCTCCAGTAGAGAGGCTGTGACGCTACCTGGAGGGCTGCTGGGGAGGGGGAAGATTCAGGCAGGAAATGCCAATAATACAAGTCACATGTTTTGAACCCCTTCAATGTGATGGGCAATATACTTGGAAAATGACTTCATTAATCATTATCATCTCAGAGTATGTACATTTTTTTGTTTATATTCAATTGTATGTATGCAATTTTTGGAGTACATACACCAATTTTATTTGTTAACAATTTTCAACTCTCAAATCTCATATTCAACGACACCTAGGGCTTGGGGAGCTTTAGGGGCTCCTGGCAAAGCCCCACAGGTATCCTGTCTCCCCAGCCCCTTGCAGCTCAGTCAGCATGTTCTGATCTTCTTCCATTCCTGTGTTTGTTTCTTTCTCTTTCCCCAGGGAGATTCTGGGGGCCCCCTAGTCTGCGACTTTAATAGCACATGGGTCCAGGTGGGGATTGTGAGCTGGGGCATTGGCTGTGGTCGCAGAGGATATCCTGGAGTTTACACAGAAGTCAGTTTCTACAAGGACTGGCTCATTGATCATGTGCGTCAGGCTTCTTCTCAGGACTCAGCTGGCTTCTTCATCCTCTCCCTGTGTCTGCTGCTCCTGGGCATCCTGGTGACCCCCTGACCACACAGCCAGTCCCTTCTTGTTTCTGAGTCTTGCACTAGGCCTCTCCTCCGACCTCTTATTCCTACTCAGTGCTCGTTCCTCAAATTCTGGTTGGGATCTGCTGACCCTGTGGTGGTCCACACACACGTGAGTGGCAGCAAGCCTGGAGTCCAGAAAGCGACCCAGCCTCGTGCTACAGTCACCTGCCCCAGTCACACCCACCCTCGGATGTGCTGTGCCTGCCAGGAAGGAGTGGGTGAGACCATCCCAACCAGAGGGCCAGCTGACCTGCTAACTGGAGCACGGTGCTCCATGGGCATCTTGGACAACGCCTACCAAAGAAGAGGTGCAACAGTGTTAGAGCTGGTTGTGCCGGGGCTCTCACCTGAGACTGTCAGGCTGGCTGGCTGGGTGTTTGCTCAGAGAGAGCGAGGAGGTATCACCGTGTCCCTGCTGAGGTGGGAGGCCCAGGATTTCCACATCTGACTTGGATGGCTAGGGCTGGGAGATGTTCCTCTGCCCCCCAGTGTGGATCCACCTGTGAGTGGCCAGTCTCTGGCACACAAGCCCTCCTGGGGCACATCAGTCATGGAATCCCCTTCCTCAGTGCCCCAGTGGCCACATCCGGGCTCACCCCAAGCTGTGTTGAGGCAGTTACAGAGTCCCGAGATTTCTGATGTGAACTGAATAAATGTTTGGAAAATCACTTTTGTCTTATGAAGCTCTGGTCTCCTGAAGTTTGTCGGCTGCATGTAACATACTCTGTAGAGAATTAGTTTTCTGTTTAACTAAAGAATTGTTCATGATTCTTATTAGATCGTAGAGGGAGAGGTGTGTCCCCTCCTACTTAGATATGAGTCCTAGGGATGGTTTTAGCCAGCTGGGCCCTGTTCCTTGTACCCTGTTATAGACATCAGTATGTCTGCAGGGAGCTTTGTGGGCTAATTTAACAGCCTCTGAGGCTCAGAATAGGGGATCGAGAGAGACTGAAACTGGGAGCAAGAGTGAAGTTGAAGCATGAGGAATACCCCTCCTCTTCTAGTGCTTCTCCTTGCTCCTCTGCATCCCCACAGGGAGGAGGGCAAGAGAGAGTCACCAAATTAGGCCCTAGCTCTTTACCCTTCTTGTCTGGGCTGAATGTCCCAAAGTGTCTAACTCCTCACCAACCCTCTCTCAAATTCCTGTCCCCTGCCCTTCCAGGGGTCAGTGTTTTATTTTTATTAACTTATTTATTTTAAGAAATATCTTTATTTTGACCCAGTTAACTAAGGAGCTTTCAATATAATAAGAGGTCTTCACTTTTCCCTTTTACATTGCGGAATAAATATGGTCATGCTTGTAGGAGAAGACATTTAAATGTTTGGGAACATGTAGGGGGTGACAATTCAAATAGAAACCCAGGCTTAGTTTGTTTTTATATAGTAGTTCTTCTGTTACTGCTTATATAAGCATTATATATGGGAAAGTAGCTTTTTAAAATCTAGTAAAAAGTGGTAGAAATTTTTAGCAATTTTTCTTAATTGTTAAGCAATGCTTTCATATTAGAAAAAATATGTTCCTCTTATAGCTCTAATAATCACAATTTAATAATCATTTCACATTATAGACTAAAGTGTTGCATTTCATCTTAGCAGACTGTAATCTGTACTAGTATAAAATGAGATTTATATATATATTAGCATGAAATAAAGGTGGTATAGAAATTACTGTTAATGATTTTAATTTTTTTAAATTTTTTTATTTTGGTATCATTAATCTACAATTACATGACCATTTTTAAAACTGAATTTTAAAGAAATATATTTCTATCAAACTTAAGAGGACACATTCACAGTTCAAAGAAATGTAATTTAACTTAAATTTTTAATGTTATTAAAAGAAAATGCAGAATATAAATTAAAATGTTTTAACAAGTAACTATAATTATTAAATATAAAGATGTTAGCTTGTACATAAGAAAATATTTACAATTAATAAAAAAGTGGATTGTAGAATATACATGTTATGTATAAAAATAAGTGAAGTATTTTATAGTCCAGACAAAGGATGTTTTCTAAGCCAGGTTTTATCCATGCAACTTTATTATAATACCATCTCATTAGCATTACTGGAGCACATAGAAGCATGGAAGAAATCTAACAGTCTTGATTTAAAGCTCATATTGCAACTTTAGGGCCTGTACATCTTGTAAAGTAAAATGTTTATTTGGTGTGTCTGAGAGGTCATCAAAGAGCTGTTCAATTTGCTCCTTTTGGCTCTTGCTAATTAGTGTCAACATCATCTTAAACCTTTCTGCTTTGCTCAGATAGAAAAGATGCTGATACACCAATGAGAGATCTTTACCGATAAGATTGTTTTTCAGACACTGAATGAGGAGGAGGAATATATCGCCTTCAAGTTTGTTACTCAACAACGTTGGCAAATCTTTTGGTTCAGTGATGGCTAAAAGGTGTGCACAGGCTTCTTTATCTTTCTAGTACTGAGAGCATTTATAACCTGACCAAATTCATGGGCATTGTTAGGCTTAGTGATCAATAGCTTTTCATAGTGGTCCAGTGGTGCATCGCTTGGGTCTCCCTCTTCAGGAGCAAGGCTGGCTGTGGCCACCTCCTCTGAGGTCCTTTCGGGCTCCTCTTCATGGCCTGCACTCACCTCTTGAAGCTCAATTTTCCTTCTCTCCTTGTCTTTATTGAGTGATGCTGTATTATCCTTAATATTAAGGAATCTGGTTACTTCCTCCAGTTCCATCTTTGCCTCAACAGTACTTGAGTCTAGTAGAAGAACTTTACGGAGATCATTTAAACTTCTCTGGCAGTTCTTGAGTCCTTTATGAGCACGAGCTCGTCTGTAGCAACCTTTCACATTCTGTTATCTATCTGTAGTGCCTCAGCACAGTCCTGCTTTGCCTCTCCAAACTGGCTCAGCTTCAAGTAGCAGAGAGCTCTGTTTGTGCAGATGGCACATTCCTTGTTAAGATTTAAGCATTCACTGTATTTACTGAGGGCAGCTTTATAGTTTTTATCCTTTACACATTGATTTCCTTCTTCTTTAAGAATTTTAAACATTTTTTCATCTGTGGGGCCTTCTTGGTGGTGGCTTCAGGCATCTCCCTCTTGGTGTGGGGGTGTCTCTGCTGTAGGCCGCCAAGCCCGCAGCTGCACAGAAGAGGGCACAGCAGGAATGGGCCATAGCTTCTCCCTCCAGCTTGGGCCATCCAGATCCATTAAAATTCTTGTTATTCTGTTAATACTGTCATTTATTAGCTGGATTCCACAGTCTATTTGCAGCACTGTTTTATAATCCACGTAAGCTTTCTGATACTGCTCTTAAAGTTTCAGAGGCCATTCTCATCGACGAAGAGGTTGATTGAGAATGGATGAAGTTCCAGAGCCCTGTTACAATCCTGAATGCATCCACTGCAGTATCCTTCTTTTAGGTAACATGCTGCTCTTATTTGAATGTAAGATACTCAGATCATCTGCACTTCCACTTCCTGCAGGCTCCAGCTGCGCGATCGCCGCCGCGTACTTAATGGCCGCCAACGCGAACTGCCCGTTTTTGAAGAGCTCGTTGCCGCGGCTCTTCAGGCTGGCGGGACACAGCGGCCGGGTGCCGGGGGGCGCGCGGGCGGCAGCGGGGTCCCCGGCGCCGCTCCCGCAGCCCTGGTGCCCGAGGGCCCTGCCCGCCGTCGCCGAGGCCCGCACCCGGCCCTGGTTGTCCGTGCCGGCCCCTGGCGCCCGAGCCCGCCGCGACGCGCCCCGCTCCGGCCGCTTGCCGCCCTCGCCTTTGCCTGCCAGCTTCTTCTGGATGTTGCCCACGGCGCGCGGCTCCTGCCGGCTCCGGGGCCTCTGTGCGAAGTGGATGCGGGAATTGAGCGTTTGCATCACCGGGAGAACCCACGGCGGAGGCCGCCGGGAGTTGGCGCAGGGGCGGCCGCCGCTCCCAGGGGCAGGTTCGAGCGCCCAGATTGAGCGTTTGCATCACCGGGAGAACCCACGGCGGAGGCCGCCGGGAGTTGGCGCAGGGGCGGCCGCCGCTCCCAGGGGCAGGTTCGAGCGCCCAGATAGCCCTGGGCTTCAGAGGGCACTCTGTGTCAGTCCCATGTGTTACCTAAGGAAGGCTGGGGTTGAGTGTGAGTTTACCTCACATCTAATCTGTTAACAAGTATCAAACCAGCGGCTTTAAGAAATCTCTGAATATTCATGGAGTAAAACGATTTCTTGTTCCTAGAATACCCAATCATGCATTCCTGGTCAGCAGGGAGCTTTTCTCCATTTTAAGGCTTGCCCCAGCCTTGAAGTTCATGCTTTACTTGCATCCAAGTTCCCTGGAGGCTTGTTAAAACACTGATCACTGGTTCCACTCCGAGGGTCTTCAGTCCTGCGGGTCTGGGGCGGTGCCTGAGAATGCACACCTCTAAGTTCCCAGCAGCTGCTGTGGCCGCTCTGCGGTCACACTCTGGGAACCTTTGCATTAGCATGAGTAGAGAAGGCAACCTCCTCTTGACTGCCTTGGTGTGGAAGTGGCACAGGTCACCTCTACCCACCTGCTGGTGGGAACTCATTATGTGGACCCCCGTAGATGCCAGACTAGGGAATGTGGTTCCCAGAGCTGGGCCTCCTACACTAGAGAAGCAGGAATCACGGCAGTCATCTCTTAGTGTCTGTGACACCCAGCGGATCTAAAAACATCATTCTTCCGCCAAAAACTCCTGGTGAAAGCCCAAGACCTGGCATATACCACCATCTCTTTTGGTTGCTCCCACCCTGTTGGTTGTCTGTGGAAGGGGAGAAATGTCTTTCCTTTCTCAAGACTCTCCCAAGACTCTCTTTCTGAGTCTTGGGTCCAGCTCAAATGTCAGTTTCTCATAGACATCTTCCCTGATTCCCTAACCATATTACTCTTTTCTTGTACTTTAAGTATCTTTTCGGATACTCAAAATCAATATAAACTGTGATACTGTCCAACGCACCAAGCCCAAGGGTGCCAAGGATGTGGTCAGAGGATGGGCGAAAGGTATCACTGTTCAGGGATGCGAGTGTGCCTTCACCAGCCAGGTTCTGGAGGCACCGTCACCAGCTTCACACACCCGGGGATGCCTTCATGGGGCTGGCCACCGGAGACAATCCCAGATCCAGGATCAGCTTCAGGAGCAGGCAGCAGTGCAGGAGACACCGACCGCAGTGGCGCGCTCAGAGCTTCGTGCGCACGAGCCACCATCAAGCGTCCGGAACTCCGCCCGTGCGGGGGTGCACTGAGGCACTGGAGGCGCCGCCGCGGGCTCGAGGTGCCCTCACGCAATGGCGCGTCTCCCGGGGGCTCGTGGGAGCCGCTCTGCAGCCGCTAGGTGGCGTCTCCCAGGCATCATGGCCGCCTGGCTGTGCAGCCTCTGCGCTGGGCCTGGGGCCTCGACGCCCTGGCGCCTGACCCGCCGCCTCCTGCTGCTGCTGCTGCTGCTGCTGTTGCTGCTGTTGCTGCTGTTGCTGC